GTAGGCTAAGAAAAGATAATTATATTTCGAAACGCAGTTCGCGGGGACAGCTACTAATTAATTGTTTTCTTCAAGATTTTTGTACAAAAGAAGGTCAAATCAGCTACCACCGCGGTGTTGAGACCGAAGTCTCGCTGAATCTTTTTCTTGTTATAGAACATTAAAGTCTATTAAATATTGATTGCTTAGTCGCGTCAAACATATTGGTGGCGAGTACTTAGAGCGGCTATCTCGCCAGCACCGCTTTCGGCTGTAGCTACGGACCCTCCAATAGCCCTTACTAAAATCTTGAACACATCCCTCAGAAAAACGTGCATTCAAATCACATTATTGTAAACTAAATGGCCGATTGGAAACGATTTTTATATTTTTTATCTACAAATTGATTTGGATTATATATTGAATATTATAGAAAATATAAGGATTTAATTATAAAGTTAAGAGGAAAATGTGGAAAACGCTATCTAGGCATGTGAAATCTAGACTACAATGTTTCATTTGGAATAGCGCCACCTTTGTAAAAAGTAGGCATTAACTTAGGTTTTGGCGGGAAATAAAATGTATATTCAGACGACAGAACACTATACCACCTCAAGCTAACTATAAACAGTACTTCATCTTTATCCAGCGAGAACTCTAGTTTACTTACTATCATCTCCAAATCACGCCATTTCTGTCTACTAACAGTAGAAATTATATATTTAAATATTTACTGGAGAGGGTTCCTGACTAACTGTAAAAGATATTCTAACACATGAGATAATTAGATATTTTTGTATTAGGAAATAAGATAAGGCTTAAAATAAATAATAAATAAATAATTTTACTTACTTTTATATGTCTCACTATAATAACTATTTAGTATTTTTCTATATTCAATATTAGTACATGGTTATTAAGTAAGTATTCTATATATTTTTAAATAATTTCCGCAAACTCAGCGCATTATTTGGTTTCTGTTATAGGAACGCACATATTTCGTTTTTAATTCATATTTTTATTCAATCAAAGCGCGGGAAACTTCGTTCATGGTCAGACGGTTTTTTCAAGGTGGTGAAATTTTAATTTAATTTTACTAGTTAAAACGCAGAGGATAAAAAAGTTAAATGTTCCTTGTCCGTCTTTCCTTTTCTTTTTGTGTTCCGACCTGTGTCCTTAATTTAATCATTTGTGCCAATAGGTATTTTAGTTTTAATCTTTTTTGAAGTAGGATTAAGTATAAAAAGTGGTTAAAATAGTAGTTTCCGCTATTTAAAAATAACAACGATAGCGCGTTTTAGTAGTCCGTCAGCGTCATCTAGTGGTCCATTTAAACTGATTTAAGTGAGTTTCTTGGCAGTGTTTATTTAGGATAGCATTCACTCGTTTTATTTGATACTAATGCTTGTAATTATGTTATTATTCGTATATTTATATTTAAAATGAAAATCCATACTAGAAACATGTGACCAAATTAAAATTCCACTAAAGAGGGAAGGATCCTAGCTTGCTTTTCTTTTATTATACATACGGCCAGTTTTTAGCTTAATTTCGTATTTTACCACTTTGGAAGAAGTAAATTAATACAAAATTAATTATCCTAAAAATCTGGACTATTTTTTATAAAAATACCAAAGTTGTATACGAGTAAGAGAATAGCAAAGTGAATAAAAAAAATTCAACAGTTTTATAAAAATTATTTTAAAAGACAAAGTTTTTTGAAAAAAAATATACTTATTGATTTATTAATTTACTTAAGTAAATTAATAATAAATTTTCTGACGATTGCGACATTCTATAGTATTCAATAACAAGGTTATATTGACATGTGGTGATCTAAACTTCGTGTTTGAATAATCTTTGTAAAGCAAATGAATAATAAATATAATTATTTATTTGAATTCTGATTTTCTGAATTCTAAGTTATAAATCTTCGTTAAGGAAGTGAGAGTTATTTAACCACATAAAGAAGAGAGTATATTTAAGCACTCTATTTAATTTTTAGTATTCAATAAAGATATTAATCCCAAATACAATACTATTTATTTCAGCGTCACACGTCAGATTTGCTTTACACTATGGTGAGACCTGGAATCTCATTTTACAACTTTTCGTGGTACAGTAACAATTCCTATTTTACATCTTTTGGTTGTACGGTCTGATTGATTTAACCCGAATGTTAAGAGAGTTTATAAAAGCGCTATCTGTTAGATTTTTTACACTACTTCAAGAGCTTGAATAACATGGTAGGTTACTATTCGCTGTAATGGAATGTAAGGAACGAAAAATCTTTATTCATATTTTGATTTAAATTTACGTTCATTTGATAAAATAAATATTGATAAATGTACTGTTAAGTTTTTTAGTAAATTAAATCAAGATATCGCACGATAATCAAGTTTTAGTAAAACAGTACGCATAAAATTTATATAGCCTCTAACTTTGTATAGCCGCACAATGTTCGAGGACATGGCGATTTCGCCCTAAGCAAAAAAATCTAAATATAATATGCCCTAATAAAGCCGTACTGAGTTTTTATAGTATTTAACGGTTACCTTTGCTTAAAATATTTGTATCAAAGCTTATTTTAATATCGTTAATAGTTTAAAAGACATGATTTTTATACAAATATGAAATATTTGGCTTACGTCTGTATATTTCACTCAACCTACTGTTGCAGATACGGTATCATAACATGGTTAGCATGAGTGTGGCAGGAATTCAAACCCCCTAAAGGATCCTAAAAATACATAACACGAAAGTCTTTATTTAAATTTCAAAGTCGGATCTAAGATTGTTATACAGGGTGGCCAAAAAGTCGTGGATCAAACGCAAATAGGGGATAGATGAGGTCATCAGCTGCAAAAAATTGTTCTACAGGAGGTCTCTAAGCTCAACCCCTGCAGAGTTATAATTTATTTTGCGTTTTTTAAGAAAATTGACTTTTTTTTACTAATTCTTATAAAATTCGAAAAAATCTACATTTTCATAATATCCACTAGATTGGTACTGATGAGTTCTTGCGTTAGACATACTATTTATAGTTGTTTATTGAGTGCATTGAAGATAATATTAAATTATACGATATAAATTTTTTTCAAATCATAACTTTTTGTTTACTTCGGACTGTTAAAAAAAAATACTCTACCAAAAGTGACCCTGTATTACAAGTTTTGGCGCATTTCATAGGGATTCTGAAAAGGTATTACACATGGCCATGAGTCGCTCTAATACCTGTATAAGCCACGGTCATCTCGCACATGCTTTCTATCTGGGTATGTGTGTTTTGGCATAGAATGCGCACACAATTGACGATATATTTATTCTCTGTATATTCTATCCTGTGTGAATAGTGAGTCTATAAATAAAGAAAAGCGTAGACAAATCAGCCCGAAGAACATTATATTGCATGAGCAGTTATGTTTTATGTCTGTCTCTGCCACTTCCAAACGATTATGTTATCAGTTATGAAATGAAATTAATAAAACAACAATATAATTGAATAACTATTAATATAATTCAATAGTATCTCTTACAATTATACCTATATTCTTACGCTCCGCGCTTGATTTGGTTTAAGTCTAAGAGAAGAATCAACAGTAGCCCTTATTAAACTTATCATAATCAACAGATGAACAAAATCTAAAAGATTACATTTAATATTAACTAAATGTAAACTTAGACGTGCTACATTTTTTAAGAATACTGATTCATCTCTACTATACGTGCTACGAAACCACTATGCTATTTAGTTGGGAATGTTAACTTTGGTATAAAATATTAATTATAATCAACAAAACATAATCAAACTCAAAGACATTCGAAACGATACTTAACTGTCAAGCATAAATTAAGAAATACTGTTTATTTAGTATAGTCCTAGACCAGTTAAATTATATTTACAAAGCCAGCTGACACTGGAAAACTAAATTAAACTTATCCAAAATCCAAATGGAATTTAAATGTGCTGAGAAAATGATTACGTACATATGAAAATCTATATCTATAATTGTTTAGAAATATGGTACAAAACTTTGTTTTAGAAAAAACACAAGGATTGCAAACTTTTACACATGTAGATAAAATATATACTGGGATTTATATAAAATAGAAATTCTAATCGACTCCTATAGGACTCTAATGAGCCTCATTTCACTATGGCTACAAGATCGAAGGCTTTCGTAGGTACCAGTTTTTATAACAAGAATTATTCTATTTTCTAATAAGAAATCGTACTTCGAGTACTACAAAAATCAAATGAAAACACCGATTATTTTCTAATCACTACTTACAACCAGTTTTTTTGCATCCCTATTAAAAGGTTGTATATTTTTATGATAGTTATTAGTTAGGTCAAATCGATACATTCTCTATTATAAAGAAAATCGTTTAATAATTCGAAAATAGAGTTGAAAATTGAATTGGATTATTTTGATTATAAACAATGCAATAGAAGCTTTTCAAATAAGCATAAAATATGTTTTTATTAAAGATAGGATATTTTACTGTTGTCCGTTGTATAAATAAAATATTGGAAAAATATTTGTTATATACTGTAGTATATAATTTGCTACAAATAGTATAATATATATATTGCACTATTTCACTATAATTAGGCCGGGTTAGCGTAATTTCACAGAAATCTAATTCACTAACAATCAAATCATTAATTCCGTTGAGATTTCTACCACAAAATTCGTTAATGAATCAATGATTAAAAAAGACATTGATTAGCTAATTTTGTATTGATGATATTAAAACTTCGCGGCATATTTGAGTTTTAATACTAATTAAAGAAATCGAAAACTCTAATTTTCTGTATCTCTCAAAGGTACTATGTTACAACTACGGAAACTAGCAAAAACTCACAAATAACCGCGAATATTTCAATAACATTTATAAAATAAACTCCAAAAAGATAACAAGCATACAAGCGTTCGTTTGCTTCCGTTTAACGCAATAAACAGAGATGGCGCTGTTTGAAGTTAAAACATAAGCCGTATGCATATATCATATATAATTTAAGCGGTGGAATCATGAGTAGTATTGGGTATAATGGTGGCTTCTCGTCTCCGTTCTTTGCCCACCGTAGCTAACTCGGCCTGTAGAGTCATCACTCGTTCACGCAGTGATTTAATTTCGTTTTGCCATGTCTGAAACAATATGGAATCTTTTGATTTTTGTAACTAAAAAAATCTTGTACACAGCACAGTACATTTTGTTGCACTTCAATAAAATCTAATTTATTGTTTTGTAAACGTATATTGATATATAATGTGTGGAAAAATCTACTTAATACTCACAATATTCTGTTTTAAAAGGTCCAATTTGTCGTTTTTAAGCCGGCAGACCTCCTGTCGTAACTGATCTGCGTCTCTCGGAGGTACCATGGCCTCTCTGTTATTGGCAGCGCCTGCTTCAGCTGAAGACATGGATTCTAAGCCAGTGTCACTATCCACGTAAACGCCGCCTGCAAGTAAATAGTCAGGATAAGTGATAAATATGTAACAAACAATAATTTTAACGAATTTTCAGTATTAGTGTTTCAGTAGACTTGTATATGTATTTGGAGGAATTTTTAGACTCGTATTTATTACGATTAATTTTGTAAACATATTTTTAGTAAGGTAAAAACTTGAGAAGGGAGCGTTTAAGTATTACGTAACGAATTTTGGGAGGGGGGGGTCCTTTTGTAAAACGTTACCATGCGGGGCGGGGATTGAATTACGCATTATTGTTAATATTATTTTCTACTTACACCACATAATAGTAACTAAAGAGTCACTAGGTGGCCACGAAACGTTTTACTAAACTTGGATACAGTACTGTACTTGGGTATTGAAAAACGTTACGGCGAGTTCATGGGGGGGTCAATAATCTCCAAAAATTGCGTTACGTAATACTTGAACGGTCCCGAAATAAAAAAACGCGATCGAAGACGTTAATCTTGTTGCTGTCGCTAGTTGAATATGTATGAGTAATACATATTCACGTGTATTATATGTATGTTCAAATCTGATTAAAATTGTGTATTACAATTAATTTTGTATCCCATCGCAAAAGGTAAGACTATGTAGAAGTAGGCGCGATTGAAATTGATTTGGGAATACCTTATTATGATTAAAAACAAATCTACACATCCATCTATCTACGACAATCTACACAATGTGCATCTAATACTACATATTATTTAAAAAGAATTCCCATACTACTACTTGTTATAAACAGCCATAGTTTGTAAGCATTTGGCAATTATATAATTTAATGAATAATAGATGGCGCTGATGGAAAGTCTTTAAAAAATTCCCGTGTACTACGAGTTACTGTGCCGGAGTACAATTGTATTAACAGGAACTAACCTGTTATATTTTTACCATAACTGAACCAGTCCTTGTCATCTAATTACAAAAAGAATTCCATAAAATATCTAATTGTGAATATGTTGTGTTTAGTATGAATAAAAATATATTTTATACTTTGAAGTGTAAACTATATAATGTAATATTCATCATTTGTTCCAATAGATAATTAATATATTTATTTTAATAGAGAATGGCACTCTAAATATATAGATAACTGGTTATTATTTCACATATAATACCAGTTTTACTGTTTAACTAGACTTATGAAATACTGGTATATAAGTTATAAAAATACTTTATTGTCTAAATGTATGAAAATATGTTATTTATTTAATTAAACTACATAAATAGTACATGTTATACGTGTTGATACTAAAATATGTTACCGATATCATGAATAACTACCAACAGACGTAGAAAACGATTTATTTCCGCCCATTATTCCTAAATACTGACCAAGTGGATCAAGATCGACAGAATTTAGGCTGGAGTCGTCGCTATGATCATGTAGCGGAGGGCGTGGCGCAGCCGCTCGTGACGTCACATCCGGGCTGGACTCGCCGGAACCGGAACCGCCCGCTGACCGGACTGACACTGCACTGGCTGATGAGGATGGTATAGACGTCTTTGATCGTCCGCTCTGGAAGAAATTATTTTTACATTATATAAAAAGACGCATTCATTATGAATCTTAAGGAAGTACTCCATTTAGGTCAGATTAAAAAAAAAACAGGTCATCCATAAGATCTTCGATGTATATAACTAAGGGTACTACTATTTAGAACTATGTATAAATTATGTTGTGTGTATGTGTTACTTACATTTGGAGTTGGTATTTCATGCGCTAAAACTCTCTTGCACGCATTATTTTTATTACTATCGCTGGACAGATTCGTGTCTACACTTGGTGATCTGAAAATAAAAACAAATTAAATTAGCTAAAATGCGTAACGTAGCCATCTGTTGAACAACGTGTTTTTTTTTTATGGCTCTGGCACGATTTGTGCATTAGCCAGCGTCAAGTATAGGATTTTTTTATAATTCGTGCTTGTCTTTAGAAATTCGACCGTGTCCTCCATGTACGGTTTAAGCACTCGCCCGGTACCGCACAACCCTCCCAAAGGCCGAGAACAAATTTAAATTAAATTATACTTGCCCTCGAGCCGGGAATCGAACCCGGTACCCCTCACCTAGCTGCCGCTTAATAAGACCGCTAGGCTATGAGGCACAACGTGGTTTATCAGTTAATTTAAATAAGTAAAATCAGCGCCATCTAGTATGTCTACTAGATGGCGCTGATTTGATTATTTTTTAAATAATAAAAATAGCAATATACATACCTCATTTTCGAATTATATATGACTTTTCGAACTGTATCAAATATCTTGGTAGCCGGTCCGTCTTGCTTCGGCGTTCCCTCAGGCTGTGGTGAAACCGCTCCTATATCACATCGCGCCCCCGTACCAAGGAACTCAACAGTCTTATCTCTCAACTTTTCAGCCAACGACTGGAGTAACGACATACGGGTTCGTTGCTCGAGTTCGGCGAATTTCTTTGCTTTGTAGCATGCGTTTTCAGCGTTTATTAACTTGGTGAGGAGAAAGTCTTTGAATTCGCGGCCTTTGCGGAATATTGAAGGCTGCGGGAGAGTCGGTCCGAAGAATGGTACGTCCCCACGAGCTGTGACGCCCACTTTGTACCTGGAACGAAAAATTTTTATAAATATAAATTACCTAGAATATAAATATAAAATATAATAGAATCGGGTCAGAGGAAGGTAATGTCCCCAAGGGTCCATAGATCAACTCATATCTGCTAACTGCACATAGCGTTTTATTATGTTTGTTGTTTTAAAAAATAAAGTTCACAAAAATTTCAGGTTTTTAACAATATGTCATCTTATTAACATTAAAACTGTATCAAATTACATCTGTTAATAAAATGGAAACAACTACATTCAAAAACTTAAACGTCATAATGGAAAATATCCAATATTTTTACGGCAATCGTGTCTATAAAAATAGTAGCATCAACCCCACATTTGCTTTGCATTTAAATTGCCTAGAGAATTTCCCGGCTGTCTGTCTATTTCCCGCTTCTTAATGCAAATATCACGAATGTAACGCTGAACTTCCCCAAATTTACAATGAAGTATAATGAAAAATATTCACCGTATTTATCAATCTCAAATGGTTTCATTTAAATAAATATAAAGATCAAAAATACATTACATACATTATTAATTTTCTGCATGTCTTATACAGATTTTTTTTAAATCGAGTTAGTGATGTTCAATTCAAAACCTTAATTACACTGGGAATCGATCCCATAAGCTTTGGGATTAATGCATTATAACAAATCAATTGATCACCTAAACTACAAACACGGTTTCGTTCTTAGAAAATAAAATATTATTAACTATATGTTTAAGCTTGCACTTTGTAATTAAATTTGTAAACCTAATTTAAAATTAAAAAACTAACACAAAGTTCGTAAGCGTAAAATAATACTACTCGTAAACAAATATTGGTATATTCGTTATGAATAAACTATAAAACTACTGGGCCGATAAAAAAAGTCTAGGTACCTTAGGCTACAATTCATTTCCAAAAAATCAAAAAAAATATTGGAGGCGGAAGAACTCGCTAGGTGTTTTATAAAAGTATGAAGATTGGTTTTACTCGTACCTGGTCTCCCCTTCGACTTCGATGGGCGTGACCACGATGAATGCGTGTAAGAAGTGTGAAGCGATCATATCAGGTGTGAACGGGGTTGATCTTTCCTGTAAAATGATTTATATGGCTAATGAGTTGAAACATATACTGCACTATGTGTTTCTTTGCAAACAGGTGAAATTACTTTTTATTTTATATACGCACAAAACTATTATCTGTTGCAAGCCAGTAATAAATACACGCATAAATGTATTTTCACCCGGCATATGGAGTATATAAACTTATAAATTGAATTTTTAATGTAACACGAGTCTTATCAGATGTTAAGTGATACCACCGCCCATAGATACTCACATTACCAGAAGGCTATTAAGATTATAGTATTGATACATTTTATGGTGCTTGGGTCAGGAGAATGTTTATTTTCACTGTTCAATACAAAAATATGCTATAGTTATAGTCTCGTGACGTAGTACATACATTATTTTGCTTTTCAAGAGAGTAACTCGTTAGGGAGCGTTCAAGTATTACGTAATGTATTTTGGGAGTGGGGGGTCCTTTTGTAAAACGTTACGATGCGGGGCGGGGATTAAATTACGCGTTATTGTTAATATTTTTTTCGACTTACACCACATAATAGTAACTAAATAGTCACAAGGTGGTCACGAAACGTTTTACTATACTTGAGTACAGTACTGTACTTGGGTACTGAATAACGTTACGGCGAGTTACATGGGGGGGGTCAATAATCTCCAAAAATTGCGTTACGTAATACTTGAACGCTCCCTTAGTTAAAGTTCCCTATATATATATATTAGATTTCCTAACCTGAAATACAATAGCGACAATGTCATTTCCAACATGTCGTTTCCTTTGTAATTGCTGCGCATCGCCCGCGGTGTGCGGCAACAGCGGCGCTACATGAAACATGATCTCTCGATCGTAGAACCTTTCATATACCGCCTCTGTACCTGTGTGCCCGTTCATTATGTCTAGACCACCTCGGTAACCTGGAAAAATTTATATTTGTAATATACATAGTATAAACATGTTAAACTTTCAAGTTCACACAAGCCTACCGACCAAACCAATGACTCTTTCATTTCCCTGAACTACTAATATGAGTATTTTTTTATTGGTTTTCGATAAACAAATGTTTTTTGTCTGGTGGTGTAATTTAATATTAAAGTGAACGTAATGTAATTTATTGCAAAGATAATATATATTAATTGACAAGATCATATAGCTCAAGGCAAAATGCAGAATAAGTTAATGCGTCGCTACTTTTTTGACTGGATATACATCGACCTATATATCAGTATCATATCGTATTAAACTTTTATACGAATTTTTATTTATATGAAAATGCTTCATTTTACTCATAATTAAAGCGTTTTGGCTTCAGCGGCTTGCGGCAGCTTGAGGTCGTAGGTTCGATCCACAGCAGTGCACCAATATACTTCTGTCTATGTGCGCATTTAACATTCGCTCGAACGGTGAAGGAAAACATCGTGAGGAAACCGGCTTATCTAGACCCAAAAAGTCGGCGTGTGTCAAGAACAAGAGGCTCATCCACTTGCCTGTTAGATTGACAAATGATCATGAAACAGATATAGGCCCTAAACCTAAAAAGATTCTAGCACCACTGGTTTATTCTTCGTGCTCTTCTTGAGCTACGTATGTAAAAAGTATTTAGTTTTCTAGCAAGAACCATACCTTTGTGATCCTTCAACTTAATCCTCTGTCCCAACATATCCAAAAACTCATCAAACACCGGCGACGTGTCATTATTCCCGAATAAATCCTCCTCAGTCGTTTGTCCGTACTTTTGGTATAAAACGCCGAACTTAAAAGTGTTCACTAAAACGTGTTCATCATATGCGGCTATCATAGACGACGCATTCAGACACATGATAGCTGTGAAGTTGTCTACATTCACTTGTTCGTTCAGCATTTTCGCCATTCTGAGCGGTGGGGGTAGGTTGCCAGCATCTGAGGAAAAATATGGCTTTGTTATTAAACAAGAAATAATAACATATAGCAAATATAAGAGTATTTCCTCCAACTTTGTTCCTTTTAAAGTAGACTCTTGGGCCGTGGGGTTCAAGAGCACAAGCACTAATTAAAGATTTAAGTTGGCGTCTGGTATATAGTACCGTTGGCCCCAGAGCTGGTGCTTTCCTCGCTCAACGAATAAGTATCGCAATGCAGCGAGGAAATGATACCAGCATTAAAGGACCAGCCATAGGGACTAAACTTTTTAAATTTGTTTAAATTTCCTATAAATTCAGTTTTTATTATTATTACTATGTATAATATGTATTATTATCAATGAAAGAGACGTTGATATGCATTTTTAGTACTACGTGATTTGATATAATTAATATTCGAAAATGGAAGATCGTTTTAATGATTTGAAAATAACACGATGCCTGAAATCTGCTTCGCCAGTTAAAGATTGATATTGTTTCAATTTATATGCAAGACTCAGTGGTGACCATAGATGGGGCTGTACGCAATTAAGACTAAAATAACATTCTGCCACACACGTCTGAGACTTACCCTATATTCAATTTTTTTTAGAACATGTACTATACTCACTTGTAATAGGTATAAGGCCATGCATAGTTTCGGTACGCAGTCGCAAAAGTATCCTGGTGTGATCCTGACCAGCCATGTGTTCGTTTTTCAAGGACATCACTACTGGCCCCAGGCTTGCGTCAAAACCGACCAAGTTGATGTGTTCCTAGAAATAAAGATAAAAAATATAAGTACACTTTATTTATTATAATCTTATTCCTTTACTAACAAATTAAGGTTTTCAAGGAAACAGATATCAAAGGTCTTTGGACTCAGGATATTTTTTATTCATACACCGATTTTGAACATATTAATTGTTTGCCGAATAATAAACAAAGTTGCTTAGGTAATCCACTTACTGATCCTAATGAATTGCAACATTGATTGCCTGAAATAACAGTTTTCTGTTGTTAATTCTTCTACTTCTATTCTTCTATTACTTCGCTCAAACAATTCCGATAGCATGATTTTTTATTGTCATCAACATAAAATATAAGATTTATTGTTGTTTTTAGTTTCGCAAAATAATTTAAAGTTCATTAGAGTTCAAAATATGTATGTTAATGTACATTATCCAATTTCCTTGAAACTGTAAATATTGTTTATAGGAAAACCACAAATTATAAACCTGAACTAATTAATCTTCTAATTAGTATTATCTATACCTCTGTAGGGTCACGTTAATTATGGATATGTTTATTTTCAATTGTTTAATCTATAGTAGAGTCGTTGACCAAATTGTTTTCTGACCAAAACATTACCCGATCAATATCGGTTTATTCGTTTAAGGGACACAATAAGATAAACAGACATACAGCTGATTAAGTTCAGCCGAGAACAACTTTAAAATTAAAATTTATTTTAATCTTAAAAATTTTTGCAGAAAGTTGTAAAATAATGAATACATATCGGAATGTAGCTAAATTTGCAATCAATGAAAGTTAACTCAGTACTTGGCGATATTTATCGTTCGTAAAATGTTTAAAGTACAATAATTTAAAACGACACTAAGCGCTTGAAAGCCTATTTTGTAATATTAACCCAAGGGTGGCATCCTCGGGCGGGCACTTTCCTGTTTCCTGTCAAAATCCATAGTAAATTGCCATCGAATCGCATTGGAAGTTAAGAAAATGTAACATCTTTAACTCCTAGCTGGCGTTTGGGTTTAAGTGATTTTATATTGTGTTCTTGATATTATATATATGAACCAATTATTAATTAAAGATTTTTGAAGTGAAACTTCTTTATCGAGGTTGGAAAAAAATTTAGTGTAACATTTTTTCGTTACGCGTCACATTTTTCGGTTACGCGCCATGTTGCTTTTTGAAGTCAAACTTCTTTATCGGCGTTGGAATGAAACTTCTTTATCGACGTATGGGAGAAATTTTGTAGCAAATCGTCACGTTTTTCAATGATAGTAATAATTCTATTACAATTAATGAAATTCTATAATAATCTTCGTAGTAATAAGGTAAAATGAAATATTTGTATTCATGTCTATGATAATAAAAGCCGTTTGTTAAACTTTATCTAATTTAACGAATTTCTGTAAAGTTGCATATAGTAGATCATTTTTCGAAAAATAAGATCATAAAGAAGTTTCACTTCTTACTTGTGTACACCTAGTACACGCACAATTTTTTTTTATATAAAATTGGTCTGCACATTTCAAAAATTATTATTGTATTACATACATTATCACATCTTTTGAATTGAATGAATTGTATGTATAGTAATTAGGGGCCGTTCAGGTATTACGTGGGCTCTTGTCAGAAAATGTAAGCAAAGCTCTCAAAAATAATAGTACATAAACATATTCATTTTTCGTAGGAATCCTCGATAGTATATTTCGTTTTCAAGCATAGACAATGTGTGGGTAATTTGTGTAAAAAATTAAATAATTACTGTTGACGTAATCACCAAATAAGAAAATCAAAGGCCCTCCCTCCCCCTATGGCGTTTACGTAATACTTGAACGGCCCCATAGTAATATTCCAATCGCGCTACTATATGGGTCTGGGTCTCAAATTCGATAATTATCGAATTAAAATTATATTTTTTAATGAAAAGACAAGTAGGTGATCAACATTCTGTGTCTAAAACATATATTTTTAATTTTTGTAACATGCCGGTTTCCTTACGATGTTTATAATCTTAGCGTCAGAGTTGCCGCTTCAGCCACTTAGCCAACATTACTCTTTTATATAATAAATAATAATATTATAATAAAATCAGTATGAGGCCATTCAGGTTGAGGTTCAGTAGGTACTATGACTCCTCTATGTTTAAACGTATACCAGATACGGGAGTCACACAAATCTCGTTTCTGTTACCATAACAACAGATAATGGGAAATTTATACCATGTTCAGCATTAACAAAGATAAAATATATTAACGTCATACTGTCTATAAAAAGGAAAATAAATGCGAAGAAGCGATCCACGTAACGCATGATTCAGATTACCTAAGATTTCCGATGATGTCATTTACGTGTAATTGTTAACTTGTCATCCAATGAAGATTGACCTATCACACCTCAGTTACCTAGTAAATTTATTGACCAAGACTGCGCATTTAATTGCATCACTTTTTATTAGCTCTTGCCATTTTGATTAGGTTAAATGTTAGAACAAGTGTATTCAACGTCCTATTTCACTAGTAAAACATAATTTAAAGATTGTTGCTGTAATGTGTTTGTGGATAGAATTTAAGTTTTATACAAAGCCTATATGCTTCGATTTTAACCAGCCTTGGAGTATTATTTGTAGCAAATTCTATACAATCAAGAGCCATTTAAATTTTAATTATTATCACATTGTCGCCAGGAACTAAAATCACCTTGTAACATCCGCTGTTTGAACATTATTTTGTCAGTAGAAGGACACTTGTTTAACAAATTAAAAGTACGAAATCCATCGAATAGATTTTGTGTGTAACGTCTGTACCGATAATTATGCCAATGGCTAAGCCGAAATAAATTAGTTCTCGATAGATTCCAATGGAAGAGAAAACGTTTTTCCTGTCTCAAAAGATCGTTGACTAATCAATCATTTTAATATAACATATTTTAATTGATAATATATTAATCTTTATTTAGAGAAAAAGTATATAATATTAAATACATAATATACAAACTATCGCTACTTTGAACATACTCTGCGACTTTTTCATTGTTTTGCAGCATATTATACGTGTTTATTGAAAAAACACATATAGTATTTATTGTTATAAGTATTTTTGGCGTATTTTTGTTCACTTTTTAGTTTCAGTCAATAAAGAGTATCTATATTACTAAACAAATATAAAATGTTTTTCCGGTCAGAACTACAAAATCTGTTTATAGGTTTTTAAATCGTTGTTTACATTCTACCGGTTTTATGTATCAATAAAATAATATTTAAAATTGTTATGTTGCTACTATGACGATATATTATAATTTTTGCAGTCTTCAGCTAAATGTGAAGTTAACGACAGTTATAAAGCGGACAAGGTTTACAATTGTTTTAATTTTGAGGGTCACTTTGATAAGTGAACAAAGGCCTGTCATGGGAGCTCTTGCGAAGTTCTTAATGTGTATTTCCCATAGTAGTTGTTTGGTATAGGCCAAAGTTTTCAGCGACAGTTTCATGATCATTTGTATCAAAAGTAGGTCAGTTTACTATGCCTTACAATCAAGAGCTGTTTTTTTTAAATTTGTCGAATCAAGGCATTTTTTTTCTATAGTCTTTTACGATTTGTAGTGGTGTGTAGTAACCCAAGTAATGTTAAGAAGGCGCATGGCTTTGGACCCCTTAAGAAAAAAACAAAAGAAGAAGGAAAAAAGGGTCCCAGTGTGTAGATTAAGTTTTTTAAATTTATAGAAATAAACTTGCGCTCCGACCGGGAATCGAACCCGATACCCCTCACCTAGCGGACACTTAACAAGGCCGCTAGGCTATGAGGCCCTTAACCTAACATACCCTAATGTAATTCACGCCTCCTTAATATTACTACATACAATCTGATAAATAAATAAAATAATTATATAATACCTTCTTTCATTCATTTCACAAATCATGATGTTTTAATTAATTTTAATGGGGTTAAAGAACATGCACCAGCACATTATTGCATGGTACACTATTGCCGAGTGATGAAAATATGTAGTAAAAATTATATGAAGCTGTTTTAAAGTGGACAAATTACCGTTAAATTTATCAAGTAGGTATGTAACAAGTAGATAACAACTTACATTGTCCTATTGACGTATTTATTTCCACATATTTATGACCGCATAGATTTGGCTCACATTATTATTGTTACAAATTATATTCAAAACTATTCGTGCTACTAATAATTATGTTGAGGACAATACGGCTTTTCCCTATATTTTTTATTGCCTATTTGACTTATCGTGTGCTAAAGGAAATATTAAAGGTATATATATATATTTGATACATGAGCTTCTTTCTATGACGCTTTAGACGGATGATCAGAAATAGATAACAATGAATAAGTATGAGAGACGTGATCAATTTAATAAATCGATTGTGTCTCGATGCTTAGTGTTTCCGTTTGTAATCGAAGCATCTTCTGCCAGGAAGTCATTAGTACTTTTCCAATTAAAGAAAGCACAATTCATTAGTAAATGTCGAAGGAAAAAGAGATGGTTTGAATGGTTTCATTGTATAACAATACTGTCTTAATGTAAATGTTTCAAAGGAGTTTAACTTTATTCTAATATCGTATTAAACAGACTTATTTTAAGAATAAGGTGTTGACTTGACGTAGTGTAAAAATAATTGTTTATTATTATTAATCCTATTCAAAAAGAATCCTCCTCGAGAATATTATTATGAATAAAATTTAAATTTCGAACCTTGATTAAAAACAAGTATAAGAATTTGAATTTGGAACTATGTTTCGTTAAATGTTAACAGTGATTTAAATTTCGAATTATATTATCCATGGTATGGATAAGAATTCGAATTTCGAATGTTCTTAAACTTCGAAACAGATGAATGCGATAAAAATGTCTTTTCAAGTGCCATTACGCAACATTATCATTAGCGGTTTGGTTTGAGTTCTGAAATCCCTTCATTGCTTGTCCTTTTTCATAGCCCAAGACGTAAATTGAAAGCTGAGGACCGTAATTGTAGGGACGTGAGGTTAATGTTCTCTTTTAC